GCTCATACATTGCCAGAGAGCAACAACTACTCTACTACCTGTCCGGTGTGGTCAAAAGCTAGGTCTACTATACTTGTACAGTGAAGGTCCGAACCGGCAGTTCTCGGTAACCTTCGAGGGCCTAGGAAGAGTAATCCTCACAGGCGAACTGGACCAGAATTCTTTTACCTCCCTTAGAGAAGACGGTCGTATCATACAACACTAGCTGGGCAGCAGCGGTACCCACACTGAATACGTAGTGAGATGATTGGTCAGAGGATCGGACCGGGGAGGGGAAGAACCTGCCAGGTACCATACCACACCATGAGAACTTCAGAGGGCAGTGACCTCGAACAGACAGTGGGCGACACAGAGCCAGAGTTGATGATGGCAGCAGGGTTCGAGAAGCCATCGCCCCTGGCCAGGACTAGACAACCGTAGTCACCGTGCGGCGTGAGGCAGCCTGGGACCAACAGCAACCGACCATCCGGTGAAAAGCTGGGTCGACTGAAATCGACAAAATGAAAAGCAAAAATATTTCGAATGGATCCTACCGGAAGAAATGGGCGGTAGCATCGTGAGCATAGTGACTATCGTTGATGAAGATCTTTTCTCGAACCGTCCTCTCAGCCAACGAGGCCGGCACGGAGTCCTCTGTCCCCGGCTCCAGAGCCTCATTCACATTATCGGCCTCCTTAGCCATAACCTTAGCGTCGTACGTCCGAACCACCGCCTTTGGATAGAAGCTCTTCCGTTTATTCCGAGCCCATACTCGGCAAGTGCGGTCAGCACTGGTCGTGCAGATATAGCGATCTCGAGGGTCCCATGCCACACCAAGAACCCTGGAAGCTTGAATGACCCATTCCAGCTTAGAAGAAAGTCTCACCTCGAGGTGTGGCCGTCCAGTCTCTGTATTTGTTTTGCTGTGGCAACATCCCATACCACACAGAGCTCCCGGTGAAGACATACTGCTAGTTGCCGTGCATTAGAGACCATGCTATTCCTGATACCTATACACGATAGTGT